GTGTACCTTGGGAATCCTTTAGAACAAGGTCACACATTTATGGCACGAAACACACAATGCACTAAACACTGCACAAAAAATCACTGTCACTGACACTGCTCAAAGTTGCTAAATTCTTCGAGGAGGGCGGTTGTAAGTTGAAGCAGAGAGCCGGCTTTCCACAAACTTTGCACTTTCACTCGTAATTATCCAGTAAGACTAGACACTGCGCCATGTTCGTGTTCTGGGTATCAAATACTATCTACAGGAGCGAACACAAACACCTGGATAGTTTTCGTAGGTTCTATTTACTGGATAAGAGATATGTACACAAGGGGAGTAGCGCTCCTCAACCTGTCTGCTGGTCAACTGCCTCTAGGCGGCATATGGTAAGTGATACATTAACAGCTTCCATATGTCGCCAGGCACATTAATTAAGCATGTGGGACATGGTAAATACATTGCCACACGCTGCTAGCTAGGCTGAATAAATAATGTATATAAATGGAGCACATACATAATATACATACATAATATATAATACAGCATACATAATATACATACAATCGGTAAATATAACATTGTGCCAGAATATTGGGTCGACGCCAAGGTATTCCAAAGCAAATCCAAGCCGAGCCTCCCTGTGAGCTTGTGTTAATTTTTTTTTTTTGCTGGAACGTAGCAGTTTATAACGGTCTTGTGGAGACGGTTTCTACTCGTTTGAGGATTACAGGGGAGCATGAGTTCTCCGGTGAGGTCGATTACTGTCTTCTTAGGTGTGTTGTCTACTGCAGCCAGCAAACGGGCATCCTCGTCTTGTGTGGTTACCCGGGGTCTGCCACTCCTTGGTCTTGTCGTCAGAGAACCCTCCTCCTGCCACCTAGTGATCCACCTCTGAACTGTTTTCTTAGACACACCCATGGTCTGTATTTCCTGTTTTGTTAGGAGAGTAAACATACAGTAAAACACAGCGCTCTGTCTTTCATTCCGATGTTAATTGCGTGATAAGTTCTCCACTCCCTGCTACCGGGGGAGGGAGTGTGGTAGGACAGTGGGCAGGGTGCGGGATAGCACGTTGTCATTGCTGCTAACGCTTCTTACATGTTATAGGCTTGTTTTATGTTGACGATACATTTCAATATATATTACAGATGTTACATCATGTGTAATATCACAATTGGCACCTTTATGTATGGTCCTCGTCAACCCATACCCCAACTCACAGTTACCAACCTTCCCAAATTATCCCTGCTGCTTCGACCTACCTGCTCGACTATTTACAGGGTTTGGAACGCAGACACGACTTTTTTGGCTGACTCTACATAACATCATGACATAACGGCAAGCAGGCACATACATACATGCGTGGTATACATAGTATTGCATAAATACATGATGTACAGTATATAGTACATGTACATAATACATACATAGACTACATAATACATACTGTATATGGTACATAGTATACATGACTATAAGATACCTCCATCTCTTCTCCTGGGGAAAAGAAGTAAAAATAAAAATAGGATGAGAGTGTGTCTGCCAGGGGCTGGGGTGGGGGATATAGTTGACAGGATGGACAATATCTTGTCTGGTAATGGGAACAAACCCATTATCTGCCTCAGTGCAGGAGGCAACGATATTGGCCGGTGTAGGAGTGAAGAGCTTCTTGATAAGTTCAAAACAGCTATAGATCGTATTATGACTAAGGGAGGGATCCCTATCATATGTGGTGTCGTGCCTAGAAGGAGAGTTAGCAATGAATGGTTGTCAAGGGAAGTTGGTGTCAACGGCCGTCTTGACGGATATTGCAAGTCAATATCAGTCCCATTCATTGACAACTGGGACAACTTCTATGGCAGAAGGGACCTTTATGCTAGGGATGGGGTGCACCTGTCTCGGGAGGGGGTGGCAACCCTGGCTGGGTCTCTAGAGGGGCAGTTCAAAAGATATCGAAGTCTTTAAACTGCTAGGGGAACATGAGGTCATGGGGGTGGAGGAGACTGCAGTGGGAGCGGGTAAACAAAGTGAGAGATTACAGGGAAATAGTGTTAGGAATGATGACAAAACTAAAGCAGACAGGGAGTTTAAACCTAAACGCGGTAAAGGGAGGACTCAGAACACGACTAACTTAAATGTCTACTACGCAAACAGTAGAAGTATGAGATACAAAATGGATGATATTAGGGCCTTAGTTTGTACCGAAAAAATCGACATATAGCATTCACTGAAACATGGATCAACCTAGACTCACGTGAGTTACCGGTCGAATACCAAATTGCAGGTTACAAATTGTTCCATACCGATAGGCAGACCAGGAAAGGAGGCGGAGTAGCAATCTATGTCTGGGATAATCTGAAGTGTGAAATAAATAAGGAAATAAAAACTCAGCGGAATACAGAAACAATTTGGATAGAATTAATCGACAGTAGGGAAAAATTAATCACAGGAGTAATATATAGGCCTCCCAATCTTGATTGAGTCAATGAGAGACTTATCTGGGATGAAATGCGCAGGGCTTCCATACACAACAAAGTCTGTATAGTAGGCGACTTTAACCTTGGCTAAATAGATTGGACTGACCTTACGGGTAACTCAGAATCAGAGGATTTTCTCGAAACGATCCAGGACTGTTTCCTAAGTAAACATATAACCGAACCCACCCAGGGTAGTAATATACTCAATTTAGTTCTGTTGAACAGAGAAAACCTCATTAGCAATGTCGAGGTAGGGAACGAACTTGCAAAGAGTGATCACAAAGAAATTAGATTCCAGTTAGATTTTCAGGGCAGACGTAAGGAAAATTCCACTAGAGTACCAGATTTCAGAAGGGCAAACTTTGACAGTTTAAAGAGGCAGCTGAGAGAAGGGGTGTCGCACTTGGGCGTGAACCTGACAGATGACACCGCCCTGATAACGAGATCTGAGATAGCCGAGTTCCACGACAATTTAAATAATGAGTTACTTAATGCACAAAGGCAGAACATACCATACAAAAAACTCAGATCAGACAACAATGACCCTAAATGGATAAATAATTATTTAAAGAACATCATTGGCCAAAGGAAGGCGAAAGGTAGAAGGATAAATCATGGCGAAATTTACCTCCAGGATCATTATAAGGTATTGGCGAGTTGGGTTAAAACCGAGATAAGGAAAGCCAAGAGGAATAATGAGGTAAGGATAGCAAGGGAGGCGAAGACAAACCCCAAAGGATTCTACCAAATGTATCAAAGTAAAACACGAGAAAAGATTGGACCAATACGGTCAGATACCGGCGAGCTCACTGACAACGACGGAGAAATGAGCAATAATTTGAATAAATATTTTTCAACAGTTTTCACCACCGAAAATGTAAACATGATACCCGAGGCACCGACTCTATTCAGAGATAGTGAAGAAAACAAATTAAGTGAGATAGTAGTGACTAGTAGTGATGTTAGTAAGCAAATAGACAAACTAAAGCCTAATAAGTCACCTGGTCCCGATGAGATATTTGCCAGAGTATTAAAGGAATGTAAGGAAGAGCTTAGTATGCCCTTAGCAAAGTTGTTTAACATGTCCTTAAAAACAGGTGCAGTACCAGAATCCTGGAGGATAGCGAATGTAATACCGATTTTCAAGAAGGGGGATAGATCACTATCCTCTAACTACTGCCCAATCAGCCTAACATCAATAGTAGGCAAATTACTTGAATCAATTATTTCAAACTCTATTCGAAACCACCTGGGGAAGCACAAGTTGATCAATGATTCCCAACATGGCTTCACAAGCGGGCATTCATGTCTAACTAATCTATTAAAATTCTTTTCATCAGTTTTCGAATCGGTGGACGAAGGGCACAATTATGATGTGGTATATCTCGACTTTAGCAAAGCCTTCGACAGAGTCCCCCATGAAAGACTAATTAGAAAGGTAGAAGCACATGGCATCAAAGGTAGTACAGTATCCTTAAATGGATCAGGGCGTGGTTATAGGACAGGAAACAGCGAGTGAGCATTAACGGCATTACGTCCCATTGGAGCAACGTCACTAGTGGAGTTCCCCAAGGCTCAGTACTTGCACCATTATTATTTATTATATACATAAATGACACAGATATCAGCATAGACAGCAACATAAGTAAATTTGCTGATGACACTAAAATAGGACGTGTAATTAAATCTGAAGAGGACTCTGCAAAACTACAGGAAGATCTAAACAAATTTTTCTAATGGTCTGAAAAATGGCAGATGAAATTCAACGTGGACAAATGTAAAGTACTCAGTATTGGAGATGTAAACAGGGAAACCAGATACCAGATGAACAACGATGCCATAGAGAAATTCGACTGCGAGAGAGATTTAGGAGTAATGATAAGTAGGAACCTTAAGCCAAGTAAACAATTTGTTTTTGCTCTTAACAAGGCTAATAAAGTACTTGGGTTCATACAAAGGAGTGTTAGTTACAAGACTAGTGAGGTCATCCTAAAACTGTATCTTGCACTTGAGACCACACCTGGATTACTCAGTTCAGTTCTGGTCACCGTATTACAGAATGGATATAGAATCCTTGGAAAGAATTCAGAGGAGAATGACAAGAATAATCCCGGGCATTAGGAACCTTGAGTATAGAGACAGGTTAAAGCATCTGAATTTGCACTCCCTCGAGAGACGTAGAGCGAGGGGCGACCTGATAGAGGTGTATAAATGGAAGTCAGGGCTAAACAAAGGGGACATTACAAAGGTACTCAAACTACCCAACCAGGAGGGAACTCGTAACAATGGTTTTAAATTAGACAAATTTAGATTTAGGCGTGAAATAGATAAACACTGGTTTGGAAACAGAGTAGTGGATGAATGGAACAAGTTACCAAATATCATCATTAACTCGAATACACTGAATAGCTTCAAACATAGGTTGGATGCTTATATGAGCAATAGGGGTTGGGTGTATACGGGACTGCCCAGTATGGGCCAATAGGCCCGCTGCAGTTTCCTCCATTCTTATGTTCTTATGTTCTAAACGCATGGCGAGGACTAGAGGTCCAGACGGTCAGGACATCTGCGATGGCAATGGGTTTGACAGCTGGGTGCCTCAAGTGGCAGGGAAAAGCAAACTTGACGCTTTGACGGCTCCGGCGTCTGAGGTGTTGGTGACGCCTCGGGGATGTCCATGGACTTGGTGGTATCATAGGCTGATGAGTGATGTGGCTGTAAGAAGCGGTTACGCCAACACAAGCGACCACTAGGCAGTTTCATATGGTAGTCACTGTGGCGACCAACACCGAATACAGTCCCGACTTTGTCCCAGCGCTTCGAAACATGGTCCTGGATATGTACGGCAGCACCAACTCTGAGGGGGGCCAGGGACCGAACGGAGTGGTTGTAATACTGCTCAGACTTCTGTTTGAGGGTGAGTTGGCGACCGTCACAATCATCCGCTACGTCTTGCCACTCGGGAGCAAACGAACTGTGTGCTAGCATCGCCGTCCGTAAAGGGCGGCCAAGTAGAATCTGTGCTGGAGACCTGCCATCTGGACGGGGCGTGTTGCATATCTCCAAAAGACCACGGTCGAAGTCTTCATCGTCTAGGTTACCGTTGGTAGTAGTTTTCATGATAAGTTGTTTTACTTGTTGAACACAAGTTTTGGCATGCCCGTTCGATTGCGGGTGATGTGGAGACGAGTTGTCATGATTGACGCCCCACATCTTGAGAAAGAACCTGAACTCCGAGCTTGAAAACTGGGGTCCACCATTAGAACGGAGGCGAACAGGAACCCCTACATTCACGAAAAAGCTCCGTAGTAACTTAATACTGCTACGTGTGGTGGCGTCTCTTCCGTATTCTCTAACGTGTGGCCACCCAGAAAGCCGATCTACGTAAAGCAGGTCGTTCTTGCCAGCGTAGGAAAAGGGGACTTAGAGGCATCTTCAAAAGGCCTGGGTGGGGGCGGGTCACACATCAGAGGCTTCTTGACTCGGAATGGCAGGAGGGTTTGGCATGCGTTACATGACTGTACATTGTTCACAATGTCACTTGTGATGCCCGGCCACCATAGTGTCTGGCAGGATTTGCGTTTAGTAGCTTCTTTACCTCGGTAGGAGTCATGGAGTCGGTAGAGACCATTACGGCGGGCTGCTGCAGGGATGACAATGCAGGCACCGTGTAGTCCTTCATCTATGGAAAGGCTGTCCCTAATTTTCCAAAAATCCCACAAGGCTGGAGGTACCTTCTTCCTATCCATAGGGAACACCAAAGCTACTGCATCATAGAGCAGCAGCCTTACGTAGGTCATCGAGGTCTCTGAGATGGCCGCGAGGCCGCGATGACACTTCCAATGCTCGGGCCAACACACAGCTGACGAGGGGTCGTCAACTGGTGCATGGGAGGGCGAGTCAGGGATGGCATGATCCACACCCTTACGCCATACTGCCTTGTAGGTAAACTGCACTGTTTTTTCCTTTAGACGATGAAAACGCAGGTCGATTGTGTATTCATTGATGATGGGCACAAGGGGCTTGTGGTCGATGACTAGAGTAAATTGGTAGTCCTAGCAGATACATTCGATATCTATGCATTGCCCACACTGCTGCGACTAGCTCAAGTTCCAAAACTGCTTCTTGTGTTTCTGCATCACTCAAAAAACGGGATCCACACTAGATCAGACTCCACTTCTCACCGTGTTGTTGCAGGAGAACGTAACCAAGTCCTTTGAGGCGGGAAGCGTCGGTCTGCAGCATTGTCGGTAGCGCCAGATCAAAGTGGGCGAGTACTGGGGTCGTGGATAGAGCCTGCTTCACGGTCTGGAAAGATGATTGGTGTTCAGGAGTCCACACAAATTCGTACTTTGGGGTGAGTAGTGTGCGGAGTTTATCAGCAGCCGATGCAATGCTTGGTGTGAAGTCTGCCAATTGATTTACTAGGCCTAAAAAAGACCAAAGGTCTGTGATGTTGGTAGGAACAGCAAACTCTGCGATCGCCTTGATTTTCTCACTGTCTGCTCTTACTCCACCAGCTGATACTCCAAAACCACATAATTGTACCGATTTGGTAGCAAACACAAATTTGCTACGATTCATGGTAATTCCGTGTTGGCGACACCATAGCAAAATCTCCCTGACCCGCTGGACGTGTTCTCCGTAGCTAGAATCCCATACGAGGATAGCATCAACCACCTTCACGCATTTACCAAAGTTTGCGAGTGCTATGTCACCTCGTCGGAAAAAGTCATTTCCCGTGGAAATGAGGTCCATGGGACCTCGGAGTGATAAATGTCGTCACTGGCTATGGCCCCTCAGCTAGTGGTATCTGCCAGTAGCCCAGCATGGCATCCATTGTAGAAAAAAACCTTGAGCCTGAGGTTATCTCCATGACAGCATTACGTGAAGTAGAGGCAGGATGGGCTGGGTGAAAAACCTAATGGTTTAATTTCGTAAGATCCAGTGATGCGGACACCACCATTTTTCTTGGGGACAACCACCATAGGGTGACACCACTCTATTACCTCGTCCCCCCACTGAACCCCTGCTGCACCATACTATCCAGCATCGCTTTTGTGTCTGATCACCATGCAAGAGGAATTCCCCGAGGGTTTGACATTCTCCTGGAGATGGATTTTCATCGGTGGAGCCCAAATAGCTTGCAGCTTCGCACCCTCATTGAAGTCCTCAGGTTCTACAAGAACGTCCTTAAACTCCTCCAGATTTGCTTGTAGTCCATTGTCCTCCGCTCGTCACTTAACATGTCCATACTGCCGCCTGTTGAGCAATGACCATGGAGCTTGTTTATCTGTCTTGGATAATCTTGGGGAATAAAGTGGAGTGCTTGAGCATCGTACCATGAAAGAAGGGCGTCATCTATCTCCTTGAATACGTCAATAGTGGTGTCTACAGAGACGTCTTCAAGGGTCATGGTTTCTGTGAACGAGGCCAAAGGAGTCAACTTGTTACTATTGGTTACAAAAATCTCCTCATCGTGTGAAGGAGATAGATCGGCTTCTGTGAGGCCTAACTGCTGCATCTGGTATGGTCCAATCGAGGTCGTCTCGGCACCGGTGTCAGGCGTAAACCAGAGTGGTCCTTGCCTGATCTTTGAAGTGACCGTACTGGATATGTTGATGTTTACCTTAGATGCACAACGATTGGGGCGGATCCTGTGGACGTTTCCAACCTTGAGACAGAATGCAGCTCCCTGAGGTGTGGAACTCTGCACTTTCCTTCTATGACATGTTTTCCTTAGTGCCTTATGAAATTACAGTGGTTACACTTTTTACCCCAGGCTGAGCACCGTTTCTCCCGACCTCCAGGATGCTGTGTTATTCCACAACCGCCACACTGTGTCGGCTGCGTTCCTCTGCTTTGTGTGGGACCCACTGCGCTGCCACTGCTTGTGACCAGTCAATCTGTTTAGGGATTTGCTGCTGCTTGAGAGGTCTGCATCGGTGTTGTAAGCAGACCCTTTCACTACGACACAAGTTTAAGGCCGTTGGCAGTACCGGGGAAGGGTCGATAGCCAAAAGTTTCTTTCTAGTTTGACGACGCTCCTCAAACCTCACTCGACGTAGAGCCACTTTGCGCTGCCGCTGTAGGTGCTCCTTAATGCGTGTGAGAACGTCATCAACTGTCATCCTCAGTGACACCAATAGCATGTGCTAATGTGGCCCTCATTTCAGGCGTCAGACAAGGCTGGAGATATGCTAGCTGGATGCGTAGTGGTTGACTCTTGAGTTGGAGTAATTCCACATAATCAGCTCATGCACCACACCACAGCTTAAATTCACGCAAGCTACGTTGGGCGAGAGTTTGTGAGGTGCCAGAGCCTGGGGCTGACGTACCTGGGGACAAGGCTGCTCCGTCGCTGCTGTCGGTGACGTGCCTGCCGTGATCGAACCGTTCGAATCGCCTCTATCCGCACCCTGCGAACCGGGGGCAGAGGTGACTGCGCTGGATGCGTTTAACGCTTGACGAATGGCGACACGGTCAGCTCTGGCAGTGTCCGCTGCAGCAGCCTGAGTGTGTTGTCGCCGAACTTCAGCTTCGTGGAACTACTCCTGTTGCCATTTTTACTGTTGTTGTTGTAGTTGTAGCTGTTGTTATAGCTGGAGGCGGTCCTCTTCGGCCTGTAGCTGCTGAGCTTCCATAAGCGCGGCCAACCTGTCCAAGGCGGAAGGGTTAAACTCCTGTGATGGCGGGTTTGGTGCACCAGGTGGACTGGTTGCTACACACTTGGGAGACATAGCAGGAGGAGCGGCGACTCACGATCCAAGTACTGGTTACCGGGTGGGACTAATGGTCTTAACAAGCAGCCGGTATCTCGTTACTCCGTCACTTCTGCTTCTATCTCTTGTTGTCGTCTCTTGTAGATACGATCCTACACATTGCGCCATATTCATGTATCAAAGAGAAGGCAGAGACGATTTCTTGGATTTACTTATGCAGGTAGTCGTGCAGAGTTTGAGATGTGTACTAAACCAAAGGCAGTAGGGCATTGATCCTCATTCCTCTGACCAGGGTCCGTCCCTCCATGTGACGGACGTCACCGTCTTAGCACAAATGCGCATTGATACACAGGGTGAATACGTACACTCGCACCATAAAGTATCGGTGCAGGGTGAGATCGACGAGTTCCGAAACGATACGTATACACTGTGATATGTCGGGAAGGTTGGTAAGTGTATCCTCATAACCCCCTCCCCCCCTCCACTAGGTGTTGCCATATGGCTGCCAACATACGGCTGGAACAACTCGCCTTTCCCAATACCTATCGTCACTGGTCTCAAATTGTTCACACTACAGTATGCACGGATACTTTTTGTTGCGAGTGTACATAACATCATGACATGAGAGACAAGCAGGTACACACATACAAGGTATACTTGTACATAGCAATGCATAAATACATGATGTACATATACATAATACATACATCGTGGAGAGGGAAATTTATATATATATATATATATATATATATATATATATATATATATATATATATATATATATATATATATATATATATATATATATATATATATATATATATATATATATATATGCAAGTAAATCACTGTAGGTGCGATTGATCCAAGTATATGCTGACAACCACACGGAAACAAGAAAATACGAAGTTCCCAAACGCTTTCGCATCTGTCAACATGAATTTGAGTAATGGGATGTACAAACTGGATAATTTTGTGATTAAGAAGATTTTTAAGCAGGTGAGAAGGTTGGGTCATCTTTCCCTATGATCTGACTACGGACAGCTGCTGAGCTTAGAGATGGCATGGTCAATTTCTTTGGATTAAGAAGATTAGTAAGGGTTACTGCCATATGACCGGAACATTGTGGACCCCTGCTGTCCCCTAGGGATTTAATCTCACTCTCCTCTACTGGATATATTAGCCTTCTCAAATATTTGTCCTTAGTCTGCACTCGCCCCTGGAGATGTGAGTTACACGAAAGCATTTGAGAACTTCGTGTTTTCTTGTTTCCTTGTGGATATCAGCATATACTTGGATCATGCGCACCTACAGTGATTTACTTGTATATATATATATATATATATATATATATATATATATATATATATATATATATATATATATATATATATATATATATATATATATATATATATATATATATATATATATATATATATATATATATATATATATATATATATATATATATATATATATATATATATATATATATATATATATATATATATATGCAAGTAAATCACTGTAGGTGCGATTGATCCAAGTATATGCTGACAACCACACGGAAACAAGAAAATACGAAGTTCCCAAACGCTTTCGCATCTGTCAACATGAATTTGAGTAATGGGATGTACAAACTGGATAATTTTGTGATTAAGAAGATTTTTAAGCAGGTGAGAAGGTTGGGTCATCTTTCCCTATGATCTGACTACGGACAGCTGCTGAGCTTAGAGATGGCATGGTCAATTTCTTTGGATTAAGAAGATTAGTAAGGGTTACTGCCATATGACCGGAACATTGTGGACCCCTGCTGTCCCCTAGGGATTTAATCTCACTCTCCTCTACTGGATATATTAGCCTTCTCAAATATTTGTCCTTAGTCTGCACTCGCCCCTGGAGATGTGAGTTACACGAAAGCGTTTGAGAACTTCGTGTTTTCTTGTTTCCTTGTGGATATCAGCATATACTTGGATCATGCGCACCTACAGTGATTTACTTGTATATATATATATATATATATATATATATATATATATATATATATATATATATATATATATATATATATATATATATATATATATATATATATATATATATATATATATATATATATATATATATATATATATATATATATATATATATATATATATATATATATATATATATATATATATATATATATATATATATATATATATATATATATATATATATATATATAAATATATATATATTTTTTTTATGGACTCTAGCCCACCCGGGCACAGGTCACCGACCCACAACGGAGCCTAGGGGACGAGAAAATAAGACTAAAAGGAAGTTAAAAATAGAAACGAAAAAGATTATATTAATCTACACCACGAAAATGCCGGACAACCAGCTTTTTTAAATGAGACAGTTTGTAAGAGTATGGAAACACAGAAGAAGGCAGTGCATTCCACAGTTTGGCTGTGTGAGGAAAGAAGAAAAGGTGGGCACTACGGGCAAGACGTGTGTTACGAGCCCAAGGTCTTGCCGGCGGTACACATGATGCCAAATCCACCAAACATTGCCCGTTAAAGTACCTGTAAAAGAGAGAGAGTGAAGCAACATTGAGGTGAAGAGAAAGGGAAGAAAGATTATCAACTAAAGCGGGAGAGTTAATAAGACGAAATGCCTTTGATTTCATCCTATCTAACAGTTGGACAGATATGAGAGCAGTACTCCAAGTTAGGACGAATGAATCCCTTATATGCTTGAACCAGCTGCTCAGGAGTAAAATAGCTAAGGCATCTGTACAGCATTCCCAATTTTCAGGAGGCAGCTTTAGCAATGTTGTGGATGTGTGGCTTCCATAACTTATTAGAGGAAATGGTGAGACCTAGCATATATTAGAACTTGGCAGAATGATTGCGTTCTCAAATGTGGTTGGTGGGAGATCATCTAATTTGGAAAGTGTAGTTGGTAAATACTGTGTTTTATTACTTTTGAATTTAACCAAGTTTCTACCCTCCCATTCGGAGATACTGCACAGATCCGCATTGA